TAGCCTGGCGGCAGGACCGTTGTGGAAAAATCAAGTAGTCCGTAAACCTACGAGTGACCGTGGTATGTGCTTTTGTTCGAGTCCACCTAACGGGACAAATATAGCTGTGCGTTTATTGTACTACGGTTTGCAGCACCTCAACTTTTTGATTTTTTTTTGGTAGTACGAAGCGAATAAAACTGAGAACGCCAAGCAACCAAACAGAGAAATGTGATACCAGCTGAAGCGAAAACACCACCTCTTCGAAGTCTGCCTTTGCCGATTCACGATGTTTGATGGCTTCTTTCCATTCTTTTGTCTGTATCGTCAACTTCTCTGCGCCTTCTTCAAGCTCCTAGAAAACAGAATGGATGAAGAAGCACACCACACGTAATTATAGGATAGAATGTTAGCAGACCGACTACAGCAGAGCATGGCAGCTTACCAACCAAGTGTGATACTTCAAAACCGTTGGAAAACAAGTGTGCTCTATTCCAACCAATCCTCTACAGGATCGGATACTACTCTATATAGTAGAATACGATAGTGAAAGAAATACTCAGCACTATAACAGAACCAAAGTTCAGAAGCGCTTCAGCCAAAGGAGCCTATTCAAATTCCCCATCCAGTGTGCGGCGCCAATTCTTCTACCACACGCCCCACGCGAAGAAATCACGCCAATTCTAATCCTCTAAATTTCTACCGCGCAAGCTAGCCGGAGGTCAGGAGGCACATCAAACAACACATCACTCAAAGCTACAACACGAAAAATATGTGAGTACAGCAGGATACTAGCTAACAGCTCAGTTCAGAAAAAGGGATAAAGCATCGAATATCGTAGTAGTAATTGAGCAATTGGAGGAGTTATTATCAGAAAGCGGAATAATGAACAAAACAACAGTTGATAAGATTTTGTGCGAAAAAGCAGTCGGCAAATATGAGGGTTTTTTCTGCAAATATGCTTCAGCCTACTTCATCTTCGCTCTCAGTCTTGCATCCTGTGATACCGTATCTTTGCCTTTCACAGACACAGAGTAAAGCTGATGTTGACCGATGCATACTGCCACGGTATGCACAATTCGTATCGCAGTAATTTCCCTGAACGACATCGTATGCGCGTTACCATTCAACACACACCACGTTATCGAATCATCATAGGTTTATTCAGACCACAATCAGCACATCACGAACGAAACGATATGATGCAAAGCTGATGCTGATGATCACGAAGTTTATGATGATGGTGATGACGCTGAAGATGATGATGACGACGATGATAATGATGATGATGATGAAGATGATTATGACGACGACAAATAATGCAACTACAGGTGGAAATACTCACGACAAATGCTGGGAAACACGAAGGTCACACAAAACCATCGATCACAAAAGCCTAATCTGGGATTATCACATCGAAAGCAACTACAGTAGGTGATATTCAAAAACTACACACAACGACACCGACATGCATAATGGCATCCAAGAAACCGGGATAAAAATGAACAAAACGAAGGAGAAACCCATCAACAACAACCTCGATCACCACAAACAGCCAGCTGCACTACCAACAAACAAGAAATCAATCGAATCAAGTCGTTGTTATTACCACGAGCTAATGATTTGAACTCATAGCATGTTGAACTATACTTTTATACATATATTACCTATTCTCCAAGGATCAAATTAGGGCGTCTTCAAAAAAGGGCTGAAGCAATGTCCATTTAGGGCGTCCTCCTCACCAGAGAACTGCTTCTATTATTGAATCCCTAGCCATCACAAATTCGTTTACTACCCTCTTACTTGTATTACTGACTTGGCTGAAATAGCAACCCAGTAGCATGGGGTGGGTCAAACCGACCAATCCATTCAAAAATAGCCAGACAAATTCTCAACTAAATGAAGTAGGTAACTATGAAATGTAGCCACGCCGCGCCCTATATTGCAACACTCTTCTCAATCAAAAATGACCCATCTCTAGGCTTATCTGGGTCGCAACCAGCGTAGCGAAGTGCAAGCCATTAGGCCAAGTTTTGAATCATAATCTGGGAGAAAAATTTTATATTCCGACGTCTCTTCGCATATGCGATCCCACGATTCAACCCTTCGGGATTTCAGGCTACCCCATGTGCACTACATAGAGCAAAATCGTTTCGCGTAGTAATCTTATAATTGTACACATGTTTTAAGATCGCTGCTCTTCAAAATCATGAAACAATATATAAATTGTCTACTGACAAAGTTATTGATAGAGAGCTAATTACTGATGCAAACATCGAAAAACACGAAAAGATGCGCAGTGCTGTGATTTACAATGGGTTTAGAAGATAATCGAAATTTGGGCACTATTTACCCTTTACTGCCCCACTCCTCAAGAACTGAGCCGGATTTTATCGAAATTTGTCCATGACTAAGATTTGGCTAGAAACTTGTCTCTGGGGTATTTCAACCCGTAGAACACGAATATTTTGTCGGTTTAGCGCGAAAACGCCTGGTCCGCGCCACAGGCGCCGCGCTATCACATCACACCCCGTAGCGCAGGCTACAGGCTCACTCGTAACAAACTAATGTGATATTCATGTTCTATGGGTCTAACTACCTCTGAAGACAAGTTTCCAGCGAATTTGGTGACTAGGTGTTCTGGCGCCTTTTGGCGCCGGCACTTCTGGCGCGGGCGCCTTCCGCGCTAAACGAATGTGATATTCGTGTTCTACGGGTAAAACTACCCTAGAGACAACTTTCTAGCCAAATAATTAGTCGTGGACAAATTTCGATAAAGATCCGGCTCAGTTCTGGAGGAGTGGGGCAGTAAAGGGTAAATAGTGCCGAAGCAAAACTACTGTCGGGACATCTACGCCTCTTTGAGCTTCTTAAGTTCTTTCTCATAATCGCAGCAGCTCAATAATAACATCATCTACAATACCTATAATAGTTTAATTTGGTACTTTTGAGTTCTGAAAAACAGGTAAGATTCATTCAAACTTTACAATTCCAAGTGAAAGTAGGTCTTCTAAGTGAGTAGAAGTCAAATGCGTGGCGCATCTCCGAGTCACGATCAAAGCATGCCACAAACAGAAACCTTTCCCACACCAATGATGCTTAAGCGGTACGAAATGAAACCATTATGCTTGCATCTATGTCGATGTATGGAAGTCGTGCTGACCCAGACCCGAGGATGAAGGCAAACACTTGACCCTTCTGGCCATCAAGCTACCTGTTTGTGCTTAGCCAAACAAAATCATTAACCCGTGGTAACGCTAATAATGGCAACAGTAACTCCAAAACGACATCGTTAGCGTGATGCTTGTAACAAATGTCGTAGAGATGGAATTCGTTAGAATTACTTGAACACCTCTGCATACAGCACAGACATAAACATGCATTCTAGATTACGAACTAGTACATTAATGTTGCCCTAAAGTGAACGCACTATACATCTTACTTCACTGCTACGCACGCATGCTAATATGCCTCAAACGCTCCCCCGACCTCAGACGCTGCCACAGCCCCTGGGAACAATCCCATCCATTGGCTAGAAACGAGTTGTAAACCATGCTGGTAAGCTTCGTGCGCCCAGCTCCAAAATTCTCCAGCGGACAACCGCGCTTGCATAAGCGCTTCATGGATGCCCATTTGAGAAAACCGATACAGAAATGACAAACCCAAACAAACAAACAACCAAAGAAAGTACGAGCGCTTCGTGCGACGTCTACGCTTGCGTCCCTTGCGGTGCTTTGGGCGCTTCGGACCCCACCGATGTTGATTCCCCACTCGAGTTAGAAAGCCTCGCTCGTCTCCTGTTCTTAGTAGCGCTTTCTAAACTGCTGTCGCGATGGTGACAACATAGCTGGACTGGCGGACGAGCCGCCAGTGGATCAGGTGGTGCGCATTCACCTGCACCACCCCCTCTAGACATGGTGTGCTCTATCGTTCGACCCCTGCCACGATCTGTTGAGTCGAAGTCTGCGAAATGGCCACCGGCCGTCAGCGAGTCGCTCACCCTCTGCAGCTCAGTTTTCTCCAAAATCAGCTGCCGATTCTTTTCTTTCAACTCGCGAACTTTCTTCTCCAGATCTTCGACGTCGGGGTCTTTTGCCGTCGCAGCACGTTCTTTCGACGCTGTTTCATCAGCAAGTCGCGTCTTTAAGATCTGGAAAATAAGTGATTCGCATCTATAGTGCAATCCTAACGCGACCTAAAAATAGTTGAAAATTCAAAGTATGAAAATGATGCTGAAAACAATATTCGAGAACGTTCAAAAAAAAACAAGCACTGCCATTCTTGCCTGAATCTCATCTCGAAGCTGGGCTATTGTCTGCTCGTAGTTCTTATCCTCATCTGATCTTGACTCGCCAGCAAATGATTGGACAAGCTGATTGGCTTCTGCAAGTGAGGTTAGTTTCTTCCGCGTTAAGAGAGAAGAGGAAATCCATAATTATTCTAATTCACCTTGACACTTCCTTGCCAAATCATGCTTCTCGACTTCTAGCTCTCTTAATCGCTTCTCGTAGGCTTCAGCTCCAGCAGACTGATCGCCTACCCCGGGCTTGTCACGCGACAAGCATTCACCCAGCGACTTCGCATCAGAGAGTAAACTTGAAACACAGTGATTGGGAATTAAGTAAACGGTAATAAAAAAATGTGAAAAGGACACAACAACCTGAACCTTATTCTGTAAGTTCAGTTTTACCTAACAATTAAACATAATATTTATTTTCGTGCGAAAGTTCCCAAAGAGCAGTTAGAATGAAAGCTACGTTCGCAGACAGTCGACGACAAGCGAGAATGTCGATAAAGGGATCGAAATTCCTACCCAACCTAAATTTTGAGAGACCAGAAGAGAACTGCTATTATAGAAAAAGCCCCAGGCCGCACAAAAAGACAAACAGCCAACATGGAAAAAAACGAAACTAATTCCTGCCAAGCAAAAATATGTTTTCCCTCTGTTAGGCACATGAACGAACTCAACTATCGTAGACAGGCAACTTCTTCTCATGTTTGAACTCACTTTCAGAAAAATCCTTATTTTAGGAGAATAATGAAAAATCAAACTGCAGAACACACCTCCCATGTGTATAGGTGAAGCCAATGAATGGAAGATGATGACCCGTAAAAGCGGCAGTAACACGAGGTGGTTGAGTTTCCTGAACAAATAGTAAACTTGCGCCAATATATCGAGCGCCCATTAATCTTTCTTCAAACAAACTAACTAATGGACTTACGCATGGCGTAAAGTCGTCCTCACAAATGTCCACATCAAAGTTTGACGTGTCCGTCGGACTCGAAACTTCCGGGTGGTAGGGTGGGTCGGCTAAAACAAGCTCATATGGATATGAACCATTAGTTTGCTTCCGAAAGAAAAAATTTGAAATCTCACAGTCTCTTATAGTAGCCCAATCCACACCAGCGAAAAATGGATGGTCGCGAAAATCAGCAAAACCACCTTTACCCAATCGAACCTGGAAGTATATCAGAATCCCGCAACAACAGAGTTCGCATTTCGAAGAAAGTATCCCTTGCAAAAAGAAGATATTATTTTTAAAAAAATCTCACAAACTACCCAACAGAAAACAGAAGCAACGGAAATCAATAATATCAACGCGTAAACTCAGCGAAAGATCTAATCTGATGAAAGGGGATTTAACACATTGACGACAACGCGGGGGATATATATCCCGCGCATTGCAGGCCATGTCGGACCGTGCGGGATATATATCCCCCGCACCCATTACACTCATTTTTTTCGCGCACGCCTGATTCTTTTAGAAGTTTCTTGTATTCATTCCATGGAAGAGACCTTGACGTAGCTACAAACATAGTGGCCCTTAGAATGGTCACGTATACTTTAATTTAGAGGAGGATTTCTGAACCATACAAAAATTTTTCGTTTACTTTTTCTTTTTATTAATGTGAAGATTTAAATAGTAGTAGAAGTAGATAAGGAACCTTAGGGATGACAATATGTGTGTTTTGATTGGAATAATCAACGTAAAATTGCTTTTGAGGTCCATTGCAGCTAGTTCTGAAAATTTCGCTTTTTCATTGTTATTCCATGTCTTTCGATCGAAATTCCACTACTGTACCCCTGGTAGGTTGTGCTCATTACAATTTACTGATCTGGTTTTGAATTGATCATTATTTATGTATTTATCACTCAAAATCTGCTTGAACGACCTGAGGCGAGCGCGCCCGCAAAATCGCCGCGGTCCCACGTGGCCAAAAAAGCCAAAACTCGCGTTGTCGTCAATGTGTTAAACCCCTCGTGTTTCTTAAAATAGAGTTAGGTTTAACTCAAAAGAATCCTTGGCTGAACATCTAACCACATTTTGTGATACTTACTCGCCATATGGGTAGATGGAAGGGACGAGTGATGCAGAATGTTATTAATAGGAAATCTTATCGGGATGTTCAATTCGAACAAGTTCAGTACCTCTCTCGGACAAATCAACCGTCGTATCAAATCTTTGGCTTCCTCCGAAATTGTCCAGTCAACATCCTCATCTGGGAAGTCCAACATGTCCTGAAACACGCAGTAAAGAATTTTTGAATTGACTACTGTGGTTGAAATGATACCTGATGACTCATAATCTTCCCGTACGTGTCGATCAGCCGCTCAGAATAAAAAGGCGTGTTACCATAGAGCATTTCATACCTTGAACAATAACGTAACTTTGAACTATCACTGTACACGACCACAAATGACATAAAACACTTCTTTTCATCTTTTCATTTTTTTTTCAGAATTCAGTATTATCCTCAAAATGATCACTTCTTAACTCAAAAGCAATGTCCTGAATTGGTGATAATTTATATGGACATATAATAGTTTCAGAAAAGCTTATTTTAAACGTACATGCAAATGCCAAGAGACCACCAATCGCACTCCTTGCCATAATGCCCTTTACCATCTTCCATTGCGCGTAGAATCTCTGGCGATATATAATCTGGTGTTCCAACGGCAACATTGGAGGCGACGGTTCCTGCAATTAGAATATCTCTCATGAATGGTTGCTCACTTCAAAAAAAAACCATATTGCGTTTGGGCCGATACAACGGTACGGCAAAGAGCACTGTTCGAAACATATTCTCACGTTTGGCGTGGTACAATCACAAAGAAAAACTGTGGAAATTAGATTGCTAAATGACGACAAAACACAAAAGAAGACTTGATTTTGCGCTACAAACAATTATTCCAGAACAAAAATTCTTAATCTTTCAAATGCTATTAGGTCGCAAAACTCTGCAAAAATACGATCCGAGGCACAACTATATTTTTTCCAAAAATGTCCAACGAAAGAAGTCTCACCATCAGGTAGTAGCCGAAGACGCGTAC